TCAAGAGGCAAAGATCAAAGAGGCTCAAAAATACAGTGAAGATATGAGCCAGGCGGTCCAGAAGCAAAGCGAAGCACTCGCTCATCACGTCTGGGAAGCCAAAAGGGAATTACATAGAGATCAAGATCCGCCTGTGGGTTTCTTTAGGCTTTTCCGCTTCTGTCAGAAGTTGCTTCATATTATGGAATAGGGGAATGTACACCTTCTACGGATAAATGAAATTTTTCTTATTCAACGATTGTCTACTTGCATGCATATCATTCATTTGCATATTTAATTTCCCCTCCTTCACTTTTAATAAACAAGATAATAAAAAAGAAGGATTAAGTGAAATGTCTTCCAAATCAGAAGAATGGAGAGAAAGCCACTTTTAATGAAGCTTTTCCTAACGGTTGATCCACCATGAGAGGATGATAAGCCTCGACCGTTGGTTCACAAAACTAATAAAGAAGAGGGGACAAAGACACCTGTGCGACTATTTATGCCACGTCCTTTCCCCTACGAATCAAATAAAGTTGTACCATGGAGATACGGAGAATCTTCACCAATAAAGGAGGATATTTCCAATATAGCCGGCATTGGGGAAATGACTAGAAGTGGAAGGGTCTACTCCCCAAGGACTTACAAGAAGATGCCCCCAAGAATAAAGGGAAAAATAAACAGACCGAAGAAAAAGAAAATAACGAATCCAAGGAGGAAACAGATGAATTACTCCAGTTCATAAGACAAAGCGAGTATTTCATTATTAACCAGCTCAATCATACACCTGCAAAGATAACTCTATTATCTCTAATGATGAGCTCGGAACCACATAGAAACGCCCTGATGAAGGTCTTGAGCGAAGCGCATGTACCTCACACTATATCCCAAGAAAAGGTTGAGAGGATCGTCGGTCACATTATGGCTAGCGATCACCTTACCTTCACAGAGGAAGAACTCCCCCTCGAGGGGTCAAGCCACAACAAGCCCTTACACATTTCCATCAAGTGCAAGGAGTACCTCATTGCCAAAGTTCTTATGGATAACGGGTCATCCTTGAACGTGATGCCCAAGTGCACACTCGACAAGTTGACTATTCAAGGAACCCGTCTGCGCCCAAGTAGCACTATCGTTCGAGCCTTCGATGGATTAAAACAAGAAGTAGTGGGAGAAGTCAATTTGCCAATCCAAGTCGGACCCACTATCTTCAACGTCAAATTCCATTGCTATGAATGTGGAAAACCTGGTCATATCAAACCAGACTGTCTGAAACTTATGAAAGAGAAGAAAGATGTGAAAGAGAAGAAGAAAGAGAAGAACGATACCTATAAGAGAAAACGCAAAACTTATATTGCTTGGGAGGATAATGATTCTTCCACAACACAAGAGAGTTCTTCCGAAAGCAGTGATGGAGAAGAAGAAGCAAATCTTTGCTTGATGACAAAAAGTGATGATGAAGCCTCATCACAGGTAAGTAGTACAAATTCCTTAAATGAATATGATGAGTTATTTAAAGAATACCAAAATATGTATGAAGGTTTTACCAAGTTATCTAAGAAATACAATGCACTTAGGCAAAAGTTTAATGCATTAGAAAATATTATTGGTATTCTTGAAAAAGAAAATGAGTTCTAAAAGAAAGATGTTGAGAAATTTAAAACTTTGTCTAAAAATAAAGAAGTTGTTAAATCTTGTGAAAATTGTAACCATTTGGAAAATGAGATTTTCAAGTTAGAGAAAATAATAAGCAAGTTTTCAAAATCTTTTGAAAATCTTGATTCTATATTAGGTTATCAAAGAGGGAATTCTAGCAAAGCTGGACTTGGTTACAAACCCAAAAAAGTCTAGAACCTCATAAAACTATTTTTGTGAAAGAGTCAAGGAAAACAGATGTGAAACCAGTTTCAAAAACTTCAAGAAACTCATTTACACCTTTTCAAAGAAAACCAACATGTTTTTATTGCATGAAAATAGGTCATACATCAAATAAATGTTACATAAAACATTTTGGCATATCTAATGACAAATATGAATGGGTGCCTAAAGGAACAAAGCATTTATGCATGTCTACATGATAGTTTGAGCATCTAATTGATTATCAGAATCAGAAATTTTTTTCTTGTTGTCATAATCAATTATGATTTTTTGAATTTTGAAAGTTTGAATTTATGAAAATTTGAAATTATTAAAGTTTGAAATTTTGCAATTTGAGATTCTTCAAATTTGAAATTTTGCAATTTGAAATTTTTGAAATTTAAAATTTTAAAAAAAATTGCAGTATGAGATTTTTGAAATTTTAAATTTTAAATTTGTTGCAATTTGAATTTGAAATTTGAAATCTGGAATATGAGTGCATTTGAATTTGAAAGCTGCCTAAATAAGAAGACTGCAATTGAAGGAAACTACTGCATTTCATTCCATTATCTCTATAATCATTTTATTCCCCTATCTTCCTCTCTCTTCATTTGTCTTGGGTATCCTAGATATTGTCTCCTTAATATGATGTTCTTCTCTATGACACTTTGTAATGCATTATCTTCTCTACCTTGATTTATGTACTAATATGTACAAATTTGTTCTCAGTTTCTATTGCAATATTTTTCATAATTATCAATGAAACATGGAGATATTTTGATGATATTAATCTGTGTGAAATAGGGGGAGATTTTTTTTTTCTCTTATAATATTTTTCGTAATTATCAATGAAACAAGAAGATATTTTGATGATATTAATTTATGTGAAACAAGGGGGATTTTTTTCTCTTATAATATTTTTCATAATTATCAATGAAACAGGGAGATATTTTGATGATATTAATCTGTGTGAAACAGGGGGAGATTTTTTGATGAATTAAAATCTGTGTGAAATTCTTTCCTATCTCTAAATAAAACAAGGGGAGTTAAGAGAAGTCTTTGCTCATATGAGTTAGGGGGAGTCTTGTTATTAATATATCTAGGGGGAGATTAAGAGACTCTGACACTTGATACAAATTTGTGTTAATCTGTGCTAATCTTGAGCTGGCTATATAGAGTCAAGCATTTTAATTCATTTCAGGTGTTTCCTTGATCATCATCAAAAAGGGGGAGATTGATGGAAATGTCCCTACATTCCCAGGAGATGATTTTGATGATGATTCAAGTCAACTACATTCAAATCAACACCATTCAAGATGAATTAAGGACAAGCTAAATTTATGACGTTGGTGAAAATGTGAAACATTTCCCTACATGCCCAAGATATGTTTTTGATAAAGATGATGATTCAAGCAAGCCCAAGATAATTCCTAAAGACTAGATAGAGTCTTAGAATACTGGATATGGAGGTACAAATTGATGAAGTAATATTATGCATAAGCCTCCAAAGCACAAGTGTGATAAAATTCATAACATGATATTTTTCACTGTCATAATCAATTATGATGCATCAGAAATGGAAAAATGATTTTCTCTGTCATAATTGATTATACTGGTAATATAATCAATTATGACAATTCAAATTTGAAAAATATATTCGTTTTAAAGAATAAATGTTTTTTAATACATCCTGATTTTTTGTATGATATTATTAATGTTCAACGGCCATTTTCTGATGTTATTTTTCTATTTAATTAAGTTTTGATGAAAAATCAAATACATAATTACAGAATTCGAAAATACAATTTACATTCAATCAGTTTTGAGAAAAGAATTCTGAGCAAGACAACAGAGATATTTTACACCTTTTGAGAAAACCCTCTTCTCTACTGCCTTTTGTGCTTTCATTGTTAATCACACTTGTTCTTGGAGATTTACAATCTACAGGCTTCTACAATTTGTTGTCTCCATTACCCAGGTGTGTCCGTTCTTATTTTTATTACCTTCATCCTTTGTGTATTGGTGGCAAAGGAGGTGTTTTCATCCTTTGATTTGTTCAGAGGATGTGTTCATCCCTAGTGGGATTCTAAGGAGGTGTTCATCCCTAGTGGGATTCTAAGGAGGTGTTCATCCTTAGTGGGTTTCTAAGGAGGTGATTGTCTTTTTAATTAGTTTACTTTTTACTGGTTCTTCTGCTGAGTTGATTGTAATTTGTAAACTGAATTTGAAAGATAGTGAATGGGGAGTCACTCTTGTGTTAAGAGTTGACTGGGAACTGGATGTAGGGTTGGCTATACCCGAACCAGTATAAATCTCTGTGTGATCTTTTCTTTCCCTTATCTCTTTCTCATTTCCTGATTATATTATCGTTTCCGTTTTATCTGTGTTCAAACAAATTATTGACTCACAAATAAATTTTTAATTTGACATTTATTTTAATTTGTGCATCTATTCACCCTCTTCTAGATGTCATTTGTCTAACATATTTTTTAACATATTTTTTATGAAGAAAAATTAATAATGGGACTAAAAGTGAAAAAAAAAATATTTAAGTTGAGTTTAAACTTAATCTGTTATTTTCTATTAATATAATATGAATAATTTTTAAGATTTAAAATGACCAGAAAACACATGATAATATACCAAAGATAGATTTTCAACTCTGTAGATAGACAAGATTAGAAGAGAAAAAATAACATTAATATGAAGTACACTATTCTTTAAAAAGAAGATTATATGTTTCTTTTTCTTCATGTTATCTCTAAGATACTAAGAAACAGAATTCACATAGATAAATATGTAATTAATTGTCGCATGTATATGCATATTGTTTAACAAATTCTCATTCTTAGATCCGTATAAAGGGACAACTAGTCGCCTGTTGAAGCTGTAGTCAACTAAAAGAAAGACCATTTAAAGGTTAGTGAAAGGTCTGAGCTCTGGCGTCACTAAGAAGATTTAAAGGTTATATTTTGTTGAGGTTTCGCCTGGGGAAGAAGAGTCAAAAGAGTAATGTCAGAGCTTTCTCAGCAGTATATTAATGGCGGAAGAACCATTTGATGCCGCAGAATAAAAGCGTGGAGCTTGTTCAAGAAACCACGACAAAAACCGTAAAGACGAAGACCTACGTTAAAGTCGTAAATGATCCGAACACGAACACTAAAATTATGGAACTTTCTTCTACACCGAAGATAGAGGAGTATATTGAGCCGCGTCCACTTCGAATTGAGATGCCGCAGATTATTAACGGAAAGAGGGGAAATGGCCAGACTTGGAGCGAATACGAGCACAGGTTTTTACTGTTTCTTTTTATTAAATTATATCTTTTTAGTTTAATTTGTTTTGTTTTTATTTAATTAGAATGTGAAATATTAGTTTGTTATTTAAATACAAATTTTTAATCTTAAAAATTTTACCATAAATTTTAATTTAAAAATTATGAAAATATTTTTGCTTTTTTATAATAAAATTTAATATTTCACTTATATATATATATATATATATATATATATATATATTAAATCTTAATTTTAAAAAATTATTAATTTATGAACATGAATACGAAAAATTTGTATAATATGATATATAATTACTGTAACTTTCTAATTTCTCTGAAGTTTTTTTTTAATTAGATTAATTACATATTTCATCTTAAATTTTAATTTTTTTAAATTAAATAAATTATATTAATTAATATAAAATTAGATGAAGAAATAAAAAATAAAAATTATTTATCATATTATTTATTAATAAACTTTATAATTCACTTATATATATATATATATATATATATATATATATATATATATATATATATATATATATATATCACTATAGTTAGATGTAAATTATAATTCATTTAAAGTCATATAAAAAGAATTTTTTTATTTTTTTTAAATTAAAAATATAATTGGTAAAATTAATTAATATAATTTTATATTTTACAAATAGATAAATTGAAACAAATTTTTTTCTAAAAACACAACACTTATTTAAAAACATGGGAATTATTTAATTTTTTTTAATTTTTTTTAAAAACAGTACATATATCCAATATAGTGTAAAAAGTTTGATGTCATTCATAAAAATAAACTAAGAATAAAAATATTTTTTATTAATTTTAAAAAGTAAAAAAATATACGTATAATTAATATATAGTAAAAATTTATAAAATTAACTACGTCGAATTTAACTTACAATAATATTATATTTATTAAAGTTGAAGGGTTTATTGAACATTTCAAAAAAACATTATATTTTAAAAATAAAATAAAAATTGATTTTTAAATAGATGATTAAATTAAATAATAGGACAAAAAATAGTTAAGTTTTTTTTTTCTTTTTAATATATTTGAGAAACTTTCGTAGTGATATTTATTTGTTAGTATTCATTGAGTTATAGAAATTGTAAATGTGGTTCGCGTTGTTGTTAATAGAGACCTCATTTATTTATTTAAAATTTATATTAATTATATATTTTAACTTTATTTTAGTTTCATGTAATATTCTTTTTGGTGATAGATTATTTTTGCATGGGGTTGAAAAGTATGTTAGAGGAGACTGGAAAAACATTTCCAACCATGTTCAATCAAGAACTCCAACTCAAGTTGCTAGTCACGCACAGAAATTTTTTATTCGACAGAAGGCGTTACGGGAAAGGAAGAAAAGAAAAAGTATTCTTGATATAACTTTAGAAAATACAAAAGGAAATATGGTTCCTCATTCGACTCCTTCTTCAAGTCTTTCAGTTAAAAAATTATACGAAAAACAACAAAAGCTTCCTGGATCGAATCCTCCTCCAGCTCTTTCAAAACAAAAATTGAATGAAAACCAACAAAAGGATCGTCGTTTAGGTCTTTCAATCCAAAGATCATATAAACATCAATAAATGTTATATTTGCATACTTCTCTTTCATGATTGATATTATTCAAACATATAGTTTTTGTTATTTTGATAATAATATTTTTTATTTTTTTTATAGTTCTTTCGGTACTTATAAAAAAATATAATAATGAATAAGGTTAAACAAATTGACTATTATTTATAGTTTTTTTATTAAGATATTTTAAATATTAGATTATATTTATTTATTGGGTCATAAATAATATAATAATTTTATTTATAGGTTTTTTTATTAAGGTATTTTAAATATTAGATTATATTTATTTCATATTAATTATAATTGAGTAATAAGTAGATTAATTGTCCATTATAATCATAACATCGTTAAGTAATAAATGTCATAAATAATATAAGTATATATCCAATTCTAAGTATAATTTTAATGTAGACAAATGAGTATTAATTAAGTTTTAATGTAGACAAATGAGTATTAATTAAGTTTCATTTATAAAATTTTATAAGACTTTTTTTATTTCTTATATCAATACATATTTTTTAATTATTTTTCATCATTTAATAAATTATTTATTTTTAATATCATCATATAAAAATGATTTTTTTATATAATTATTTTATTTTATCATTATTTAATGAATTATTTTATACTTTATATTATTATTATTATATATATAATTTATATAATTAATTTTTTATATAATATTTTTTGTATTTTTATTATAATTTTTACGCATTTATAAAAAAATATAATAATAAATAAATTTAGATAAATTATTCTCATTTTAAGTAGATTATATATATATATATATATATATATATATATTAATACTGATTATAAAAGAGTAATTAAATAAATAATCTCTTTATATAATAATAATGATTAACAAAATCATAACGTCTTTTTTTATTATGTATTTTTATTGCAATGAATTAAAATTATATACATTTATATTAACTTTAAAATATAAATATTTATTTTTAAAATAAATATATCAAAGACAAATAAACAGAAATCAGAGAAGATATATAATAAATGAAATAAGGAAAAAAAATACAGTTCTTTATTATTTTTTTATTAATATTTTATCCCGTTATATAGTAGAATTATTTTTCAATTGTTGATATTATTATTTATAAAATATTATCATGCTTTTTAAATAAAATATAATTATATTTATTAGGGAGGGAAAATAGTATAAACAAATATTTATTATGATAATATATATTTAAAAATATAACAAAAAAAATTATTAGAATGAATATAATATAAAGAGTAAAAATTGAAGATATGATACATACACTACAAAAAACTTCATAATTATTAGAAGTTTATTTTTAGCGATTATAAAAATCGTAAAAATTAAATGTAATTTATGACAAAAAATTTAACTGACACAATAATTATAATTAATTTTAAATTTTTTTATTTTATTTTTATTTATTTTCATTTTTCATTCTCTCATTTTCTTCTACCTTCTTTTTCTCTCTTCGTTATCTCTTTCTCCCTTTACCGTTTCATTCATTTTCAAACTCATCTTTCACTGTAAGGTTTCATCCTTCATTGCAAAGGTTACGTATCCTCTCTCAATCACCAATTTAGATTTAATCCTTCTTACATTTTACTTTTCAATTTCACATGTTTGTGATTTTTGTGGAAAATTACAACAGTTTTATCTATCATTTGTTCTTCAATTTACAGTATATGCTAATTTCTCCTTCTCTTCTCTGTGTGACGCATGTCAATCTACATTCAACCATTTTTTGTTTTCCTTAACCTCGGGTGCGAAACTTTTAATATCATTTTTTGTTTTTGGTCTCCAATCTCTCCAAGACGGACACTCGGACGGCGTTGCCGCTTCGGAGCTAACGCCGGAGGGGCGACGATATCGGTGCTCGGCTGCGATGCAGTTGCTGCAGCCGGCGGAGCCGTTTCCTCCGCGGCGTCCGGTGCGGAGGGGATTGGAGGGTCCGGCGGTGGGGGATTGGTTTCGGGCACTTCCGCCATTGTGGTCACAGTGGCAGTGGCGGAGTGCGCAGGATAAGGGAGACGGGGAGTTTTCTGGTGCGGTAGGGTGCAAGGGTACAATTACCTCTAAGATTGTGCGCCGTTGGATAGTTATTATGCGGTTTTTGGTCCTGCATCCAGTTTCCTCGTTTGAGTTTGTATTTTTAGTTAAGTTTATATAGCACCTTACTAGTTTTCTTGGAGGTTTAAAATTTAAGTTGTCTTGTGTTGATAACTAGCTTGTATGTCTGTAGGTGGTTAATTTTTTCAGGTGGTCTTTTAGAATAGGTACTGAACATAAGAAGTTTGGTTTTGAGTTTGGTTAAAATGCAGTAGCAGCAACTGATATTCATGTGATATTGTTCATATATTTAGAATGAATAATATACAGACCAATTCTATAATGTTTTATTTAACCTTGTCGTGCAATCGCAAATAGTTTGATATGGTAAAAATTGTTAATTTAAATTTTAGCTACCTTAACACTTAAATATGACACTGCAACTGGTTTCTGATTATTTTTACCCTCACTATACATTTCTATCAAATATATGAATCCAATCCTTGTGAGAATGAGTGCCCCGCATCTTCTTCTCTATGTACTCTGTCTGTTTCCTGTTCTGTTTTTCTTTTCTTTTTTCACACTTCTCATTTTTCTGAGACACAAAATGGAAAAGAAAAGTGGTTAACACACCTACTTTACCTTTTTACCTTTGCTCAACACCCCTGGCTTTTTCTTAACGAGGAACCATCAGAAATTAACATTGTTTTCAATAACCAATTAAATATGTATATTGAGCTTGAGATGATTTATTGGTATGTGTTAAACCTTACTCAAATATGGAAATTGGAATGCATTGCACGACGCTGTCATGCATGATCTGAGTATTACAAAAAGTATTTGTTACCATTTGAAAGTGATCTGTGTGAAGATAACCATGTTAATCAACACTTGACATTTTGAGAAAACTGGCTACTTTTAGCTGCAACTTTGTTTATTTATTTGCATTATACTATCTGCAAGTAGATGAAATTTGTTAAAGTTTCGGATAGATGAGATATGATACTGTAGGTCGTAAAAATTATGTAAGGGAATTTCTTATTGACCACCTCTTCTTTTTTGTCTTTTGTAGTACTTATCTCTCTGCAAAGAAATTGTGATTTGTTTTAAATTGTATAATTTCATCTAAGGCTTAAGCAGTTACCCTATCCATTTGGTATGTTTTAATGTATTATCTTGAGAGTATAGATGCTTTACTTCTTGAGTCATACCAAGGGAGTGTTCATAGCTTCTCTCTAAATATGCCCTTATACGGATCTACTTTGTTGTTATCTTGTGACAAATATAAAGATGAGAAAAATACAAATAAAGTACATTTTTTCTTTTCCTACTGTCCATTACGTAGTTCTAAGCTGATGTTGTATCTGTAGAGTGTTCGGAGCTGTAGTCAGGACTTAGCTCTGGGATTTGGTGATATCAATTTTTATATTGGGAAAGAACATGTTTGTTAAATGATTACTTGAGTTTAGTCCTTGGATACTAACCTGTGTCAAATCCTTGTTCAAACAAAAATTTGGTTACCGGTGTCATTTGCTTATTCAAAAGAGACTTGTTGTACATTGGATGATTTCTTTTCCTGGGTATGGGAAAGGGTGGTAATCACGTTAAATTATAGCAAACTGTGAAACCTGTGAGCTACTATATGCTGTAAATAACTGATTACAATTACATTGTTTCGGTATCTGTGCGGATCTGTTGGTTTTGATCCCTTTAGAGTCTTGGAGTGAAGTTCTGAAGGATGGCATGACCAGAGGCTCTGGCGTTCGTTGCATACTTTTTGTTTGGAGTGAAGTATACAAAGGGTTATCTGGTCCCTTTGATTTTGTTGAATTGTTTTAGTAGTCCAAGATTCTGGGTGGAGGATCCATTTCTACTTTTTAGCAAAGGTCGGTGGTTCCAAGACTTTGCAATGGAGCACTTCTCAAAATATGACCTTTTAGACAATCCAAAACATATTGTACATGAACTTCAATGGACTCTGTTTTTGCAGTGCAATTTTATAATGATTTTCATGAGCTATGACCAAAATATGTATGCAGAATTTTTAGATGGATTTAGTGTCTTTGTTTTAATCTAATCATGGAAAAATAATTGTTTATTTAATGTTGCAGGCATAATCAATGGAATTTTCCAAAAACAAATACTAAAAGAATTGATTGAATAGTCTTGTCCAGGTAAGTATTTTTCAATCTTCCTTATTGGAATTGATTGAATTTGGCATCAATAACAATATATGTTGAATTCTAATTGCATATTGAGTAAAAGGAGAAAAATAAACTTTAATTTGATGCTGCATTTAATTAGCCTTACTGTTTACGTTATTGTTAATTTCTAATTTAACCGCATTATATTATTACTGATTTTTAATTTATGTAATTTTCTAGTGTATGTCACTGTGAATTGTGTTTTAGACTCCTGCATATGCCTTTTTCATTACTGTATTTCTCATTCACATCATCTCGACAATATTCTATATTCTTTATATATCAACAAAATTTCATAAATACTCTTTTTTAATCTAAATTTTTTATATGCATAGTATTTTAGGAGTATTAATGTCTCTTCTATACCTTAGTTTATTATGTACATCAAGGATATAGAAAATATTTTGCAACTTATGTTTTTCTTACTTCGTTGGACGAGATATAAAAATGGATAAATCATGGATTGACATGCCACGGAATACAATTGAATATTTGGATGGACTGAATAGATTTTTAGATTTTGCATTTGAGAATCGATCTGTCAATGGTGCAATAATTTGTCCATGTCCTAAATGTCACTATGACAAATGGGAAACTAGAGAAGATGGTCTTCATTTGTTGATTATCATCTAAGTTCAAAATATAAGGTAGTTATAACAAATAATTGTTATCAATAATTATTTTTTAAACTTGGTTTTGAATTAATAAGTTGTTTGTTTCATAGGAATTATGTAAGAGAAATATTGAAGTCAGAAAAAAACAAAAGATTCCTCATATCGGTGGTGCAAAACTTTTATCTACAAAACAACATGAAATGGTAAATTATTTTTGTTTTATTGTTAAATTTAACAAAAAAATTATAGTATTCTTCTAAACTTATATGATCATGTATATTATAGGAAATAAATCTTGGACGTGCTGTAGGCCGAGGAGAATTGTACATTGCAACTCACAAGAAAAAAAATGGATCTTATGTTAACGAGGAGGCAAGATCTATAGTGGTAAGTTTAATAACAAGTAATGTGTTTAAACATGTGAAATTATACTCTTTCTATACATATGCCTTCTGGTTTTGAAGCTTTGCATCTAGGATTCCAATTTCCAACCATATATTTCAACAGCGTATGGGGTAAACTTTGTCTTGTTTCAGTTTCTATATTTTTACCCAGAATCATATCATAAATCATAAACATATAGAATGTTTGAGTTTAAGTTGTATTATTTAGTGTGGTCAAACTGATGTTATTGTTGAAAACAACTTTGTTGAGACAGAATGTAATTAAAGGGATGTGCTAAAATTTTGAATTGAGATATCTTCATCTTTTCACTTCATGAGATATGTTAAAATGCTTCAAATTGTGACTTGTCAAATATCATGACTTTGCATCTACCTTATTTTACAACCTCCTTTGTATAATATTAATATGAATATCAAACAATTGTATTTATTCTATTTACAGGAGAAAATAACACAAGAAATGAGTCAAAGTGTCAATTTTACAGAAATTTCAGCTAATGATTGTGTTAGTAAAGTGTTGGGAAAGGATCATCCTGGGCGTGTACGTTGTCTAGGACTAGGAGGTCTCCATAGTGTTGCATTTCAGTCTACCACAAGATTTAGCGAGTGCAGGGTGCAATTTCTCAAATTCTGATTCAAGTGGAAATTCTCAATTGAAAGAGGAAGTTATTCATTTAAGAGAAAAATTAGCAACTTCTGAAGAAAATATCAAAACATTAAAAAGTGTCATGCTTGCATACATCCAAATGAAAGAAGGACACATTCCTCCTGAGTTGGGTGTCATGTTTGGTAGTACAAGTAATATAGTTGTAAGTACTTTATAGTTTGTTTTAAATGAAATTATATTATTCAATACCTGTATAAAGTTCAATATCTTATGTATAATTTCTAATTATGCTTACATGATATGATCTTTATTTTATAGGATGAAGAGAGTGGACAAGATATGTCAACACCACAAGGAGAATCTTCTTTAGATAGTAATTTTCATAAAGTTTGACATTATTTGTAAGTATTTCATATTTTGTGTTAATAGAATTATGTTGTTAATTATTTCTATGGAGTTTAATATTTTTTATATATATTTTTAACTATATTAAGATGGTATTATTTTTATTTCACAGGATGAAGCAAGTGAATGAAATATGTCAATATCATAGGAGGATACTCATTGGATAGTAATTTTCATTAAGTTTGACATATATGTTATGAAATTTGTGGATCTATTGACATTGTATTTTGTTAGATACACTTTATTAATAAATAATGTGATGAATTTTATTGGACTTTTAGGATGAAATTTGATTTTATCTTAATTGATATTGAATTATATTTAGCTAAGTACTCTGTCAAAGTGAATTATATCTAAAAACTACAAATTTAACCATTTTTTAGTAAGAATCAAACTAATATTTTATGTCATTAAAACAAATAAAAAATATATTATACATTTCATTAGATTATTGATTTTATTATAATGATTAAATTATTATTACACTTATGGTGGTATTTTAAAGTAATTCTAAATAAAAAAGTATTTTAATTATTAATTATAAAATTATTAAAAAATAATTTGTAAATAATAATTAAAATTTTGATTTATTGATAAAATAATTAAAAAATAGTAATTAAATAATTTTTAGTGGTTTTTTAAACTCTAATAAGTTTTAAATAATTATAAAATATTATATATTTTGCAGCGGTTTTTAATTGTTGAAATATAAAATTAATTATAAAAATAACATTTGTAACAATTTCAAATTGCAACAAAATGTTAAATTAAAATGAGAATAATAATGCATTTTATGGCGGTTTTTAACTGTTGAAATTTTTATTTTTCTTTTTTGACATAAATACCAGCATTTAAAAAATTCTGTTACAAATCGTTTTTGACATCTATAAATATGACAGTTATATTAATTGTTACAAATTTTATTTGTAGCGGTTTTTAACTTCTAAAATCTACAATTTTAACCGCTATAAATAACATATTTTTTTGTAGTGATATAAAACAAAAATATTAAAAAAGTAATTATTTAAATAAAAATAATAATAATATAAAATATGGAGAAAAGACTTTATATTATAGTTATATAATTATTTAACCCCTTTTAGACACACAATAATATTAGCACCTACATTTATTAGATTATTTTTTATATTATAATCAACATAAATTTATGTATTTCAAATTTGTTTCCAAATTTCATTTTTTTCTATCAAACACCACATCAGTTTTTTTCCTATACCATATCAGAAAAAGAAAATATTGTTAAATAGAATCCAAATGTAAAAAGTTAGGTGGTGCTTTTATTAATATATAATAATTAACTATAATGTAGTTGTGGATTGAAATATTCTCCCACATTAATATTTATTTAATGAATATTAATAAGGTAATATATTAATTAATGGTTAATATTATAATAAAGATAAATTATTATCAAGCAAAGGATGAGAGTTTCATTCTCTTCTAGTTATTATTGAAGTATGTTAACTTGAGTAATGAAAGCTTGATTTTCTTTTGTTTTGGCGGATAAAGCTCGCTCATGACCAGAAAAATTATTCTGGAGTTGATCTCTTTATTTTTTTCAAAGCATAAAAATCTCTACATCTTTAGGCTTCCCTCAGATGTATATCAACATTGTTATTCTTCCAAAAATGCATAATTGACATACTCTGCGTATAATTACTTCAGTCGAGTCCATGCAATTTAAAGGACCAATCGTCCTAAACATGATAGTGTCATAAGGGTAAGGAAAAACTTACTCCTATTCATACCCTTGATTAGGTTGAGATGCCATAAGGAGTTGACATTTGGATCATTCTTAGAGACATGATCTAAACAATTAAGTGGACCATTCATGTAACTAATTTAACTGTAAATTTACTCAGAAAATGAAAAAATTGTTGAGAAAATTCGTTGTCAACCTCATTTTTGAAGAATATTGTTTAAGTTCTATCATATAATTGTAGGTCTTGTTCGATTCGTATACATTCATTATTGTATAAATAAGCCTTACAAGGACGAAAAACATAATTCAAGTCATAAATTAAATTTTTAGAATTAAGATTTCAAAGTTTTAAATTCAAGTTTTCTCTAGATTTTCTCTCTTTTGTGATGCTTAACTTCAAGGTTTGTTCATAGAGTTTCTTGTACGAATGATAATTTGAAGTTTATCAATTCAAGTTGTTTTTTTTCCATATTTGTTTCGTTTTCTCTTTACTTCTTCGTTTTACTTTTTGTTTTCATTTTTCTTCTTCTTATTTTACTTCATTTCCTCATTGTTTCCTTGTTATTTCTAGTTTCCCACTTGTTCATAATGTTCTAATTCGTTTGTGTTGTTGATTCACCGATTAAAACTTATTTATATGATTTAGATTTGGTTCTTAACAATTTTAATCGATTATAATCCATCACAATCAATGTAATTGAGGTTATTTGATTTAATGTCTCATTGACATCACAATTCAATTTCTAAGTTTAAGTGATTACTTAATTTATGAATTAAGTTTTGATCACGAATTTCAATTAGATTGTAATTATTTGGAACTATTGTGGATTTGTTTTTGTGATTACAAGGAAATTCCTAGAAATCCATGATAATTATAAAAGCAAGTTTATGATTGGAGAATCAACACATTGAATTTTTAAGTATTCTTAATTCATTTTCCAATTTAATAGTCACTTTGATTCTATTTTTGTTTCAATTTCTAGTTTACAATGTTTCCTTAAGATTTTACTGCTTTATAGAAGTAGATTTAATTTAATGTTTTTATTGTTTTGCATTTACAACTTTGATAGATTAGATTTACAAGCTTTCATTTTATATTTTTCATTTACTACTTTCTTTTATTGTTTTCTTTAAATGCTTTCATAGTTTAGGATTATTACTTTCATTTATATGCTTTTGTTTACTATTTTTAGTATAATAGTGTACTGCTTTCAATT